TTCAACGCCGTCAGATATAGCATCGTGATTGTCAGTCACAGGGTGGTTGGAGTGTGGGTTATTTTCAAATAAAAAAGTCAACGCTGAGCAGAGTGAAGCGCCGTTGCACGTGGTTTGAGAGAGCGTGCCCTCGCCTATCTTCTGGCCAATCCTTGGTGTAGCATGACTTGCGGAACATTCCAAGCAGTACTCGTAAAAATTAAGGGCACGAGAGCCCTCTCGCGAAATCGGTGTAATATCCATAATAAGTAAGCAGACAACGAGCTGGACCGTTGGCTGAAATTGCAAAGGTTGATGCTACGTCAGGAAATATGTTGCGGATTTTCAGGAGTTCTCCCTAAAATTCTATAGCATTAAATGTAGTTTGTTGCAAGACTTATGGACCGACCTAATATATAGTAGGATCCCGTTTATGGCACCAACATTTGAATCACGGCGACATTCCTCAACGCTAAGCCTGCTCAGTTCGGTGCCTACCATAGCTGTTTACAACCGATCTCATCTGGGACAATAGTAAAGTACCCTAAACTAGCAATCAAATGTGGTGATTTTCCCCATTGACGAGGAACAAGCAGCGTGGAAACATGGACATGACCCTTCTTGAAACCACCAGCCTCGCCACAGTACCTGCAAAACTTGCGACTCTCGGACTTGAACCCTGGATGGTAGGACTCATAGCCGGTTTTTGCCACTGCACCAGGGATCACTCGATCACACCACTGGAAGAGATGTTGATGACAGGTAAGCAACGGATGTTGTTTGCAAATCTTAGACTGCAAGCGGTGTTGATCCAGCAACCTTGCCAGCGGCAGCGTGGAACGTCCCATTGAGCCATTGGAAGTTTGCCATGATGAGCATCCACCACGTTGCTGCAAAGCTTGCGTCACACATGGGTTTGAACCTTTGGTGCACCGTCCCATGTGCGACATCGCTACCACTGCACTAAGGAGCCCTTCTTATCGACAGTGAAAGGTTGTAGAGAAAAGGGAATAGCCTGCAAAGGTTGCATACCTCTAGGCCGATGTCATAGTTTATTCACTGTCATAGTGAATGTTCTCCTTTAGAAATTGAGAAAGAGTATTTAGCAGTACTATTTTATTCCTTTCTACCATTTGAAATACATATTAGAAGGGGCTGAACTACAATCAGAGTCTTAGTGTAGCTCTCTATATGTGCTTATGGGTTGCTTTGAAGCAGACATTGTTATTCATAGGATGCTACATTTCAACTCCCTAACACATCTCCGCAGAACCAGTAGTTAACCCTTTGACTACTGGTGGGACACATGTGTCCCACTTCGTAGTCAAAGACACTACCACAGTTCCAGGAATATTGAGGCAGGAGCGCTCATTTGATGGCTGAATTGTGCACATATAGAAGCTTCTAATTCTTACTATGACAGTTAATCGTCAGAAGCTAAAGCGAGTCATCCTGCGTAAGTTAATCTTTGACTACTGGTGGTACACATGTGTCCCACTTCCGTAGTCAAAGTCACTACCACAGTTTTGGCAATTATCGGGCGGCCCGCTTCGATGGCGGAATTGTGCACCTATAGCAACTTTCACCAAATCGCTAGAAGTCAGAGCGAGTTACCTGGATAAGTTAATAAGCAAGTCTTATCGCAGGTCACTGTACAGTGTGCACACCTCCCAAAAGGTAATTTCGAGTCTCACACTCTTTATACTTGTTAATGGTTCTAGTGTTTCCCTCAATTATTGTATCAGGTGAAACATAAGCAAACCGATGACGGATGGGGGCATTTTATCGGCCGCAAGCCAGCCACCGATAAGCCCAGCAGCAACATCTAGTGCGTTTCCCAAGCCTGCCATGTCGTCTACACGTGAGTCCCTCGCCGAAAAAGTGGCTGCATTCCTGAAACATAAGCGTCCAGCAGTGGCCAGTTTGCAGTACGGATGACCATCCGATGAATCATCATCTAGGGCATCATCGTTAAAAAGAATTGTGCGAAGAGCCGCTGCTTACAAAGCACAGAAATACTGAAGCAGGTGATCATTAAAGCTTGAAACGATGAACAAGAGCTTCAGAACCTACTTTCTAGTAGGTCACGGAGGTCCTTCTATGTCGCCCTCCAACAAACTGGTGGCATAGATTATAGATTCCCTCACGTGTGCCAAATAAAATAAATAAATACGCCTTCTTTCTTAGCTGTTACCTGTTCACGAGTGAAACCAATGGCCAAAAAAGAGGGTCCGTTTTGTGTTTTCTTGACGGATTTTTCTGCTTTTTTCGCTGCTGGGGTACCATTGAACACCACCACGTCACACTAAACCCTTCTTGAATTTATCGTAACCGCTACCTAATTAATCTCGAAAAATTCTTAAATAACTGCATTATCTGAAAATGCAAATTTGGGGTGAGCTTATAATTATGAAATGCACTGTAGTGCCACTGTTTGCCAAACATGAACTCCTAAGCTACGACTTTTTTTAGACAAGTTATTAGCGTGTTCTGTTCGGTATCTGTCACTCCTTGCAAGAGCTAATCACTACCAGAATGGCGATCTAGATGAGTTCCTTCTGGATTCGATCCAGAGACCTATACGCGAGTAGCTGGCCCTTTTGTCACATCTCCGCTCGAATGAGCATCATTGAAATATAAACTTTCAGCCATTAACATTTTTCACATTACATTCGTGGAATAAGCCAATGTCCGGATGGAAACACACTCGGAAGGAATCGCAAGCCTTACTTGGTAGAAGTGCTGCTATGCGCCTAAAGGAGCGTCAATACGGCTGCGTGCCTCCACCGAATTTCCTATGGGTCTTTCATGCTCGAAAATCGCGCCAGTCATGGAGAGTTCCTATGGCTACACGTTCGCTCCATGCAAAGAGTGACATAAACCCTGGAATCGTCGAATCTGTTAATGGCATT